CTCTGTAATCATGTCCCTCCTTTATTCCTTTCCTCCCTTCCTCCCTCCACTCCCTCCCTCGCTTATTCTCTTCCTCCCTCCACTCCCTCCCTCGCTTATTCTCTTCCTCCCTCCACTCCCTCCCTCCCTTATTCCCTGCCTCTCTCCCTCCCTTCACTCTCTCCCTCCCTTATTCCCTTCCTCTCTCCCTCCCTTATTCACTCCCTCCCTCCCTTATTCCCTCCCTTCCTCCCTCCCTCCCTTCACTCTCTCCCTCCCTTATTCCCTCCCTCCCTCCCTTCACTCCCTCCCTCCCTTCATTCCCTCCCTCCCTTATTACCTCCCTCCCTCCCTCCCTCCCTCCCTTATTCCCTCCCTCCCTTATTCCCTCCCTCCCTTATTCCCTCCCTCCCTCCTTCCCTTCCTCCCTCCCTTATTCCCTCCCTCCCTCCCTTATTCCCTCCCTCCCTCCCTTCACTCCCTCCCTCTCTTATTCCGTCCCTCCCTCCCTCCCTTCACTCTCTCCCTCCCTTCAATCTCTCCCTCCCTCCTTCCCTTCACTCCCTCCCTCCCTCCCTTCATTCTCTCCCTCCCTTATTCCCTCCCTCCCTCCCCCTCCCTTCCTCCCTCCCTTCACTCCCTCTCACCCTTCATTCCCTCCCTCCCTTATTCCCTTCCTCCCTCCCTCCCTTATTCACTCCCTCCCTCCCTTATTCCCTCCCTTCCTCCCTCCCTCCCTTCACTCTCTCCCTCCCTTATTCCCTCCCTCCCTCCCTTCACTCCCTCCCTCCCTTCATTCCCTCCCTCCCTTATTCCCTCCCTCCCTTATTACCTCCCTCCCTCCCTCCCTTATTCCCTCCCTCCCTTATTCCCTCCCTCCCTTATTCCCTCCCTCCCTCCTTCCCTTCACTCCCTCCCTTATTCCCTCCCTCCCTCCCTTATTCCCTCCCTCCCTCCCTTCACTCCCTCCTTCCCTTCACTCCCTCCCTCTCTTATTCCGTCCCTCCCTCCTTCCCTTCATTCCCTCCCTCCCTTATTCCCTCCCTCCCTCCCTCCCTTCACTCTCTCCCTCCCTTCAATCTCTCCCTCCCTCCTTCCCTTCACTCCCTCCCTCCCTCCCTTCATTCTCTCCCTCCCTCCCTTCACTCCCTCTCTCCCTTCATTCCCTCCCTCCCTCCCTCCCTCCCTTCACTCTCTCCCTCCCTTATTCCCTCCCTCCCTCCACTCCCTCCCTCCTCAACATCTACTTCAACTCACATTGAGGGCGTAGGTGATGGACAGCCCCACGACGCCCGAGTTGATGGAGCCCCGCCCAGCCACGCCCATGAGTGCAGCCGCGAAGGTGATCAGATTGGCGAGCATTTCCAGACTTACGGCCACCCATCTGAAGGGGGGAGGGAAGGCGACAGAGTAGTATTTCTTCTGTGAATGCGTCTCTTTTTTATATATATATATATGTTTTTTGTTTTTGAAAAGTGTCAGATTCAACAAATAATAATACAAAACTTAATAAAGAAAAAAATATATATATAGTTAAAATATTGTTTGTGGAAGTGGCAGAATTTTAAAAAATAGTATTAATGTTTAAAAATAAAACAGAAAATGAAAAAAAATAAAGTTATATTTATAAATATAGTTATAATTACTTAAAGCCTTTTCTTCCTACGCCGTCGCCTTATCAATAGCAATTATCAATGTTATCATCACTAGCAAGCTTAAACTGCGAAAAAAAAATAACTTCACCCAAGCTAAAATGAAATAAACTGATTGATTACCTTACCACAATACATATTTCCCCTTTTTTTAAACAAACGTAACTCCTAAATCCCAACGATGCTACAGAACCAGAACTACAATCAAACTTATGTATACAAAAGGAAATACCTGTTTAGCAAAACATTGACGTAAACGGATTTTAAGGAAGACTCGATTTTCCTCTGGGATTCGTCGTAGAATTCTTGCTCCTTCTTGTAAGCTCGGATGACTGACACTCCTGAATGACGGAAAGAGGGTAAGGGAGAGGGGAATGGGGATGGGGGGAGGGGAAAGGGGGATGGGGAGGGGATAAGGGAGAGGGGGAGGGAAAGAGGGTAAGGGAGAGGGGGAGGGAGAGGGGAATGGGGGTGGGGGTAAGGGAGAGGGGGAGGGAAAGGGGAGGAGGAGGGAAAGAGGGTAAGGGAGAGGGGGAGGGGGAGGGGGAGGGAAAGAGGGTAAAGGAGAGGGGGAGGGAAAGAGGGGGAGGGAAAGAGGGTAAGGGAGAGGGGAATGGGGGGGAGGGGAGAGGGGGATGGGGAGGGGGTTAGGGAGAGGGGGAGGGACAGAGGGTAAGGGAGAGGGGGAGGGAAAGAGGGTAAGGGAGAGGGGGAGGGACAGAGGGTAAAGGAGAGGGGGAGGGAAAGAGGGTAAGGGAGAGGGGGATGGGGAGGGGGTAAGGGAGAGGGGGAGGGAAAGAGGGTAAGGGAGAGGGGGATGGGGAGGGGGTAAGGGGGAGGAGGAGGGAAAGAGGGTAAGGGAGAGGGGAATGGGGGTGGGGGTAAGGGAGAGGGGGAGGGGGAGGGGAGGAGGAGGGAAAGAGGGTAAGGGAGAGGGGAATGGGGGTGGGGGTAAGGGAGAGGGGGAGGGGAGGAGGAGGGAAAGAGGGTAAGGGAGAGGGGAATGGGGGTGGGGGTAAGGGAGAGGGGGAGGGGGAGGAGGAGGAGGATTGAAAGAGGGTAAGGGAGAGGGGAATGGGGGTGAGGGTAAGGGAGAGGGGGAGGGACAGAGGGTAAAGGAGAGTGGGGAGGGACAGAGGGTAAGGAGAGGGGGAGGGACAGAGGGTAAGGAGAGGGGGAGGGAAAGAGGGTAAGGAGAGGGGAATGGGGGTGAGGGTAAGGGAGAGGGGGAGGGAAAGAGGGTAAGGGAGAGGGGGAGGGACAGAGGGTAAGGAGAGGGGGAGGGACAGAGGGTAAGGAGAGGGGGAGGGACAGAGGGTAAGGAGAGGGGGAGGGACAGAGGGTAAGGAGAGGGGGAGGGACAGAGGGTAAGGAGAGGGGGAGGGAAAGAGGGTAAGGAGAGGGGGAGGGACAGAGGGTAAGGAGAGGGGGAGGGACAGAGGGTAAGGAGAGGGGGAGGGAAAGAGGGTAAGGGAGAGGGGGAGGGAAAGAGGGTAAGGAGAGGGGGAGGGACAGAGGGTAAGGGAGAGGGGGAGGGACAGAGGGTAAGGGAGAGGGGGAGGGAAAGAGGGTAAGGGAGAGGGGGAGGGAAAGAGGGTAAGGAGAGGGGGAGGGACAGAGGGTAAGGAGAGGGGGAGGGACAGAGGGTAAGGGAGAGGGGGAAAGCCTACTGAGATTTCTTAGAATGGCTGCCTTAAATAAATAGCTTTATAAGATCCTCGTCAATAAATCATTTTCTAGAATTTTCTTAGAACTCTATTTAAGTTCAAATAAAACTCATAAGAATTATATTACCTGATGAGTCAAACACCAAACTTTACTAATATACATGTCTATTTCACTAACATGAGATGATATATTAAGTCTTACTTTATCAATATGTGTATTTTACTGATAACATTATCCTTTGCCTATTTACCCAACATACGTACTTCACCAACATGTAAAACTTCATCAATATGAATTCTTCATTAGATCTGTAACTTCACCATTATAAACAGAATAATACATACATACTCCACCCCCCAAAATGCAGCAGGTCCCAACACCTCACCTTGAAGTGTCTCGCCGAAGTGGGAATAGATGGGGCTCTTGGACACCGATTCAATGCGTTTCAGTTGTCTCGAAGAAGCGATATATATGATATGAATCATGTAGTAGACGACCATAATGGGGAGCATAAAGAAGCCAGCCTCTGGCGTAGCTGCTAAGATGACTATCAATGTTGAAACCACCTGAAGAAAACCCGGGTCGGTGTGAAACAAGGGATGTGTCGCGATGAATTTTCCGACGCATAACAGTGGTTTGTTGGTATCTTAGTGATGTAAGTATATGTAGAGTTTCAATGTCTCGTAAGAAAGAAATATATATAAATATGCGTAAATTCTGAATATGTTTCGTTCGTTCGTAAGTTACGTCTGAAATCATATTCCAAGTCGCTTTATTTGTATGTGAAATTGGGTGTTATTTGACAATATACTTATTAAAGAATAACACATAAAGATATCCCATTATGAATCAACTGGAATCCTAGTAGTAGTAGTAGTAGTAGTTGTATCATTATTGTAATCACTATCATTATATTATTATTATCATTATCAACATCATTATCATCACGATTATCATTATCATTATTATCATTATTATCATCACTATTATCATCATTATTACCATCACTATTATCATTATCATGATTATCATCACGATTATCATTATCATTATTATCATCACGATTATCATTATCATTATTATCATCACGATTATCATTATCATTATTATCATCACGATTATCATTATCATTATTATCATCACGATTATCATTATCATTATTATCATCACGATTATCATTATCATTATTATCATCACGATTATCATTATCATTATTATCATCACGATTATCATTATCATTATTATCATCACGATTATCATTATCATTATTATCATCACGATTATCATTATCATTATTATCATCACGATTATCATTATCATTATTATCATCACGATTATCATTATCATTATTATCATCACGATTATCATTATCATTATTATCATCACGATTATCATTATCATTATTATCATCACGATTATCATTATCATTATTATCATCACGATTATCATTATCATTATTATCATCACGATTATCATTATCATTATTATCATCACGATTATCATTATCATTATTATCATCACGATTATCATTATCATTATTATCATCACGATTATCATTATCATTATTATCATCACGATTATCATTATCATTATTATCATCACGATTATCATTATCATTATTATCATCACGATTATCATTATCATTATTATCATCACGATTATCATTATCATTATTATCATCACGATTATCATTATCATTATTATCATCACGATTATCATTATCATTATTATCATCACGATTATCATTATCATTATTATCATCACGATTATCATTATCATTATTATCATCACGATTATCATTATCATTATTATCATCACGATTATCATTATCATTATTATCATCACGATTATCATTATCATTATTATCATCACGATTATCATTATCATTATTATCATCACGATTATCATTATCATTATTATCATCACGATTATCATTATCATTATTATCATCACGATTATCATTATCATTATTATCATCACTATTATCATCATCATTATTACCATTATCACCATGATTATAATCATAACTATTTAATATCAACATCATGCTTCTTCGTCAGTTTACGTACATTTATCATTTACACGACGGAAGGGTCTGCGGAAACGTTAACAAGGAAGGCGGGAAGGGAAGGGGACAGCGAGCCCGGAGGAGAGAGCACCTTCGCCCTTACCTGAGTGATACACGACAGCATGAACCGCGTGCTGTCCGGGAGGGTGGTGTCCAGGACGCTGATCTCCTTGCTGAACCTGTTGATGATCCTCCCGCTGGGGTTGGTGTCGAAGAAGCTCATGGGCAGACGCACGACGCTGTCCAGGAGCCGCTGGTGGAGGACCCGCGACGACCGGAGGCAGCCCAGGAACAAGAGCATCATCGCCAGGAACATGAAGCCGACTGCGGGGGAGATCGGGAGATGAGGTTCGGGGAGCGAAGGAGAGATTGGGAAGCGGGATGGGAGAGGAATGGATTTCTGTGTGTGTGTGTGTGTGTGTGTGTGTGTGTGTGTGCGTGTGTGTGTGTGTGTGTGTGTGTGTGTGTGTGTGTGTGCGTGTGCGTGTGCGTGTGCGTGTGCGTGTGCGTGTGCGTGTGCGTGTGCGTGTGCGTGTGCGTGTGTGTGTGCGTGTGCGCGTGGGTACGTGTGCGTGTGCGTGTATTGCGCAAGCCATGCTAAACCTCACCTTGTGCAACGCCGAAGACCGCAAAGACGCCAATGAAAATGTTTTTAGTTATAACAAAGTCACTGAACACGGGATCCAGGCCTGTGTCATTGGTGCTGATGTCAAGATCGCCTGTAATGTTGTGAGCGCTGGCGTTGAAGTCCTGTAAGCTGGTGCTGTTGAAAGTGTCGCTCGAGGCTGGGGATGATTCGCCTGCACTGGACCAGAATGACAGCCATACATTACTGCCGGCTATGCTGGCCTGGAACGGCAGTGGATGTAGTTACTTAGAGAAAAGATTTTTTTTTAGTTATCCGTCTATCATTAATCCCATAAATTTGTCTATATTTCTTCGCTCACCTGTCTTCCTATTATTATATCTATCCTATTTCTGTTTCCATTCATCCATCTGTTTTTCTTGGCAGACATTTTCATTCCCCACCATCGGTATATGAACATGATTATACATTAGCTGATAGAGGTGCCACTAGCACTCATATACATCGTCATGACATCGCCATGCTGTGCTGTCAGCTTGGTGACTTATTTCACTATTATTTGACATCAAACACCTTCACTACGTACAAGGGGGTGGCCAAGGTGATGTTTGGCAACACAGGTAGATAGAGATAAGATATTACTGACGTTAATTTAGCCTATACTGCTGACTTTATGAACGTCGTTTCCCTAATATACTTTCTACATTTTGTGAACTGGTATAAAATACTGTTGAAATTGATGTATGTAATAGGTAGCCTATGTGTACGTCATTTCTTTACTGTTGATCAAGTTAGCCCGAATTTTTAGGCTACCATCACTCAGGCCACCATCCTTAAACATGTACTGGTGAACGTCCTTCCTTATACCGGCATGGTATTTAAATATATACTAGTATACTGGTACAGATGAATATTTTACGTATACGTACATATACTCATATAGAGCGTGGCCTTACATCTTCTACCATTCATGCAGTTATCAAAGAGAGTTTCAGAAAAAATGCCCATCAAAATCCCGATTCAAATTTCTCATAACTCACGCCAATTACATTAACATACATACCAACATTGGGAGATAAAAATTGACCACCGTTTTGTTTTTCTACCCATATACTGGCTACACGTCTACATTTCTGCTTCGAATGCACTACGAAATAGTGAGTCGAAACCGCATCATTACCGCGAACGAACCGGTTATTATGGAACGAAATATCATTAATAATCTTATTTCTTCGTTAGTTTACATTTATCATTTACACGGCTATCGGAACTTACCAAACTAAATATCCTTATTGTATCATTACGTAAACACTAAATCTACAAATTCAGTATGCATTATGATAATTGGTATAATCATGATAAATATTATAATTGTTATGATAATTCATAATGCAATAATAGTAATATATAACTCACTGAAGGTATTCTTGTACTGATGATATCACGCGACAACTCTATGGTGATGAATAATATCTATATAATAATTCCTTATGAATTTAATATTACATTAGTCAGCCACGCAGTATATCACAGTATATTTACAGTGT